CATTGAAGGTGAATGAAATTGATAACCACCATTGAATCTGATTGATTTCTTTGATTTTTTAGGGGCTTCCTCCAAGAGCAGCAGTGCATCCAATGAGGGTAAGTAGTGCGTGCATGATGCAAAACATTTAAAGTTCGATTTGTTTTAAGCATTAGCATACTTGCATCCTGCCTTAAATCTCTCTCCGTATGAATTAGTTATCCTTGGCAAAGACATGATTAATGATATGGGATAGAATTTCTTCAAAAACTAGTGCCCCTGGGACTGGTCCTCTGATGTGGTACATATTAAAGCAATTTATCAATATCAGAGATTTGGCGTTGTCATAAACCCTGGGGCTGAGCCATAAGCTAGTGTCTTTCTACAATGGTTGTAGAATGTGAGTATGAATTTCACATTTGGCACCCCATTACTGTTATTTTTTGATTCAATTAGACCTCTTGGTTTTCTGAGGACATCTACTCCGGGTATTGGGTATATGGCTGCAGGATATAATGTGAGAACTTGGCTTTTGTTTGTTGTGGTAGGTATATCAGCTGAAATTTAGTGTTTGAGCAGTTGCAGGGTACGCATATACTCCCATTTGATAGCATTTCTGTGATTGGCTCTTTTAGCATATGTAAAATATTTTGCTCAGTGTTTCTGGATCTCTATGCTTTTCTTTTTATTGTTGTTTTTTATGATGTATTCTTCTATTCTCAATCAGTCTTTGGATGATAACATCATTGGTGTTTGCAATAGGTTATTTTTATGATATCAAGAGAGCCAGCTCCAATGCTTGAGGACAAAGAAAAATGGTTAAGCTACTAGCAGCTTTCAAATATGAGTTAATTAAAAACATCACATATCTCTGTTTTCTAACTTAGGTAAGTTTGACATGCAGGTCTCTCATCTTTCATGATTTTGTTGCTAAGAGCCTTACAAAGGATCCACGTCTACGGCCTACTGCATCTGAGATGTTGAAGGTATGGTAATATAACTTTTTCTACCTCTATCACAGGAATTTATATTTTTTGGAGTTTTCATCTGTCTTTCATATGCATTTACTACATATACCATAATGTGAAGGTGTTTTCACTTCTCGGTCTCAGATTAGGCATTTCAAATCTGTTTTATAAACTTGTCATCTGTGCTAGTAAGTGTTAAATCATCTAAGGACAACCTTATCCACATGCTAGTGACATAAAATTTTCTCTATGACCATTCAAGTCACATGTAAAGCTTCAATGCTTAATGCACTTTTATTATCTTCAGGGGTAGTTAAAAACTCTTATTTGCTGCTTGATGGCTGTTTGGTTTCATAGAATTGGGAATCCAAACTGGTCCTTACGATGTTTGTTGTGAGAAGTATATTTCACATTGCTCTTTTCTAAGTCTTTGTAAAAGCAAATATCTGGATGCTTAGGTTTTATTTAGGGGCGCATTGGTGGACTTGGATCTCTAATCCTTGACTGCACTCCATCTACCACTGCTCCCTGCATATTCCATCTCTTTCCCCTCCTCCAAAATAGTCGTACATAAATCTAAATTTTTTTGGTTTGGGCCCCTCTATGCACTAATAATACGGTTAGACTCAGATGTCAGTTTGATTTTGCCCTTTCGTCTTGTACTTATGTTTCATTCTTTATTGTATAATAACACTGCTTTGATTTTAACCATGCTCGAACTTGTACTGTTGGAAGGATAGTTCTTTCAGGTCTGATTATACACTTTATATGGGCTCTTGTAAAAGTTCTATTTTTTTAGTGGCTGGAAATTTGAATCTAGTGTCAATATCATCATTGATTGGTCTATAAGTAAAATCAGGTGATCTTGCAAGTCTGCGTGTGTTGTAGGAATGATGATTAGCGTAGGTTCTAGATATAGTTTGTAATAGCATTTGTCTGATATTTACGGGAGTTTCTGGTTTCTTTATATGACTTTCAGGAGTTTCAATATGGTCACGACATGTAACAAACTGCATAGAGTTGAAATGAAGCATTTTTTTAATAGTTAGAGGGGAAAGGATTGCTGCTTTAATATGCTTATTTAGTTATTTACACATTTCTTTACCACCTTCCTTTCCTTTGGTTCTTTCATTTATTTATTTGTACTTCTTGGCTGAAATCATCCTGTCTTTTAAAACTTAGCACAAATTCATTGAGAAATGCAAAAGTGGAGCTTCTGTAATGTTGCCAAAGATTGAGAAGGCTAGGCAAATAAGGGCTGCAATGGTTCGACAAGAAAAAACTCTTGCTCCCGCCGTTTCTGGACTTGATGTATGTATATTCTTGCTCCAAATGCAGTCAATCTTCTTTTTTTCAATTAAAAAAAAAACATGATCATCTAGTTGTGGACAGTCATACATTCTCAGAGTTAGACACACTAACTAGTGTCATTGTATGCATGTTTATGCATCTCTTTTGGTTCTGAATTCTCTGAACTTGGAGCAGCCGGTGGTAGGTTCAAATTCGAATGATGATTATGGAGAAACTGTTCCATCAAGGCCTCAAAATATGGGTCTTCAAGTTGCAAATGAGGTTTCTGCATCTGGCACTTCGAAGAAGCAGCAGATATTAGATGGTGTGGAAGTGACTGGTGAAGGTATGGAGTCCTTGTTTGCACGTCAAATCTAATAATATAAAGAAAGTTCCGAGGTTTTCGTTTTTAGTTGACATCTCAAATGGAGCAGACTGGAACTAAGTCAATTATACTTTTCTTTATTACTTTTCGAACAAAATTTGTTGGTCAGTTTGTTTTTTCATTTTCTGATCATTTTATGATCGACAGGGGAGTTTGGCACTGTAATAGTTCACGGTGAGGATGAATCTTGGAAGTCACTTTCTCAAATTGAACCCCACAGTAGTAAAGAAGCTTCAGCTGGTCTAGAACACTTTGAAAGCAAGTTGATTAATAATGGCACAGCTCGGCAGTTACCTGAATCACAGCACTTGCCTTCCTATACGCTTCAGAGTTCAATAAGTTCCAGTACTTGCTTCTATGTGTGAATAAACTTTATTTGTCGTGTGTGTCTATATCACTGAAGTAGTGAAGTTGTTCCTCTATTTGTCAACTCAAGCATCCAATTCCTTGGGCCTGTTTTCTATGTTGGATAACAGAAAGGGTGCTTCAGCAAACAATACTACCATGGAAGAATCGAACATAATGGTTCAGGGATCTTCTCCTTCAATATCTGTCCTTGGTGACCAGAAACTGAGGTCAGACAGTGTTCCACAGGCAAGGACGAAAGATAGCAGTGATATCAGTAGTAGCACATTGAAGAATGAAACCGTCAGCAACAAAAAGGCCTTTGCTTTACAAGATAAGGTTATTCCCATTCTGTAATCTATATCCGCCCAAATCAATTAATGAGTGGTACACTAATTCTCTATGAGAAAGTAAGGTCAGAACTTCGTTGATTTCACTGGAATTCAAATGAAATTAGGAATCTACAATGGTTGTGCCGAGAATTGCGGCCCTTCTTTTAGAAGTTTAACTTGCTTGAATTTAAGCATGAGGAACTTGTGGTTATTTATCTTGATATTAGTCAAGTTTGCTTTCTGTTTGGTCGCATCCTGTTATTCATCACTACAAATGGTTTACGTACTCCCATATTATTCCTACTTTTGCAGCTACTGCAGCTGAGATTCCTTTTGTCAATTGTTTTGCAGCTCTTTTCTATATACGCAGCCGGTAATACAGTACCCATTCCATTCTTGAGGGCATCAGATATATCCCCAATTGTCCTTTTATCGGACAATATACTCAGAGGCATGAAGCAAGATCGTACTGGAACCGTGGCAGTGGAAGCGCTGCAGGAACTTTTTGCTGGTGATGGACAACTGAAAAAGGGTCGAAGAACACAAAATGAGGTCACTTCCTATCTTTGTCCTTTTCTCGATTCCTCTCCTATATTGGTTTGTGAATAATTTACAAGTTTAACAATCTGTAGGTGCCACTCCCTCCTAGTGTTTATCAAAGGCTCACTTCAAGTTCTACACTAATGAATCTGGCACAGGCTCTAGCATACCACAAAATGTAAGAACTAGTAAATTTTCCGAATTATCAGCTACCATTTATTTTGTTCTTTCTAACGGCTTTTTCATTGCAGGTGCTACGAGGAGATGCCACTTCAAGAATTACAGGCAACTCAGGAGCAGCAAACCATTCAAAACCTATGCGACACACTACGAACCATTCTCCGGTTATAGGGTGTAGACGAATGCTACATTTCCTTTTTGTTGTTGTATGCTATTTTTCTTATCCCCCTTTGCTCTAAGATTATGTGGGGTCATGTATCATATACAAGGTTACATGATGGCAAAAATGAAATGTAATCGATAATTTCTCGTATACATTTCCATCATCAAGGATAATAAACGGCGTTTAATGCCTTTGGTTCAGAAGCACAAATGGTTAGGGGTGTTCATTCGGTTAAAACGGTGGACGACTGAACCGAATTACTATTAATCGAATTTTTTTTCTTTAACCGTTGACCGAACCGAATTTTTTTTTGAAAATATTAACCGAACCGAATAAATTTCGGTTAATTTTCGAATTAACCGAAATTTTTTAAATTATATAAAAATTGAATATTTTTTAATTCAAAAAACCAATTTACAATTAATTTAAATAATATATAATTATAAAATAAAAATTTTATATGAATTTTTTAATTAATTAATATTGATTTAGGTTTAAAAGTTATTGGATCTTAAATTATTAATTGGGTTTTAAATAGTTTGGGTTGAACCCATATATTATATATATTATATTTAATATTTAAAGGTTAATTCGGTTAATTAATCGATTTCGAACCGAATTAACCGTTAATCGAATTCCAAAAAAACCTTAACCGTTTCCCGACTGAACTAATTCGGTGGCCGACCGAATTAATCGAACTAATTCAGTTCGGTCGATTAATTCGATTAAAACCGAATTTTGAACACCCCTACAAATGGTAAGTATAGAAAAGCGAGCTCAATTTTCGCATGAACAAGCTCGAACAGATCGCTCTTTCATTCATTCAAAATTTGGTTTCTAAGTTGACAAGATACATTTAAATGGGGACCAAAACACTAGTTTACTTCACAGTGGGTAGAAGCTTCTTGTCCAAGGCATAAAATGAAATGAACTATACGAATCAGGATTACATCTAAGATATTCTTACCAATTCCAATATATTTCCATGTTCCGATATATCTGCGGTGTCCACTAACGTAAGGTATTCCCTTTCCGTTATCGATCTTATGCCATTTGGATCAGGGACTCTGTCTTCTGTTTCTTCCTCTTCTTCTTCAATACCTTCCCTTGGTTGGAAGCCCCAGGTGCGCGAAACTATCCATTGGTCTATGACCCCACAGTCAATTGCATACTTGAGAGTGTGTTCCAAGTATCCTTTATCTGTAATCAGATCTGGTTGAACCGTTAACATTCTCAGGATTCTGAAAATATGTTCCCCCAAAAAAAAAGATCGGGTGAGCTGAAGTTCGAACAACACCAAATAACCATGATTTCATATTTAAGAATTTATACCCTATTGTCATTATCCGATTGTGTCAGACATGAATTTAAAATTTCAGATATAAATGCTTTAGGGAAGATAAATGTTAACCACTACGACCCGACCCAGTCTGATGGGCCGCATCAGGAGATCATAACTCAAAATTGTTCAATTTGGGTAGTAGATCAATTGGCATGCGTTCTATAGAGTGCACTCTTTCGTATGTTATGTTTCAGGTTCGAATCTGTGAGATGCACCTCGGCATGACAAAACTTTGAGGGGGAACTAATTAGTAACTAGAGAGGACAATTTCAGAGTATGCTCTAGCGATACAGACCAACGAGTCAGGTTGGGTTGTGACACCTACTCTCGGGCTTCTCCCTAAAAAACAATATGTTTTGAATAGAAAAGGTAAGATTTGTAAGGTGTCAAGCTCAAAAAGCCCCAAAGTAGTGGTTCCGAAGTATCATGCACACTTTAATGTTAGCATAAGCAGAAATAGGTCGTAGATCCACAGGTCTGTACCTGCAGCGATGCCATCTCCATCCCATGCACTGCGCCATTTTGCTCCTTAGTGTAATAGTGTATCTTGGAAGTCCCATTTGGTACAAACAAAGCCTTGAGGTTCTCATGCCAAATTGGTGCAACCACGTCAGGATCATAATGGACAAATTTCGAGCTCACGTTGTTCTTGGTGTCAAATTCTTCCGTAGGCTTTATTCCACACAAGAACTCCAGTTCTTGCTTAGTGACCTCGATAACATTAGCAAGGTTCCATGCTTCTTGTATGAACATCTTGGTCTCTTCATCGGACTGCCAAAGTGGCAGTGGAAGGTTTACATCGTAGAAAATAATGCCTCCTAGTTTCTTGGAAATCTTGATAGCTCTCAACGAAGTTGATCTCATGTTACGATCGAGCAGAGAATGTGTGCTGAAGTAGAACATTTTCGCCTTCAAGGAGGTTGTTAAATAAGTCTAACTTCTGGGACTATTACAGCTTTATCATAATATAAAACCTTAAACATTTGGATTGACTACTTTTAGCTTATTTACTAAAATCTATTACCTCTTTCAGCACGTCGATATTGATCTCGGACTTGGAAAGAGAATCCTCAGCACATGATTTAAGATTAGTCATTCTCAAGCGACCTCTCTTGCTAATTTTCATCTGCGACATAGCTGTTGGTCTTTTTTTATCAATTTGAACCGATCGTGTTTGAACATTGTTCACGTTTAAGTAGCATAGCATGGCCTGACCATAGTCATCATCGCCGAGCTTCCCCATGAAGGCAACTTTACCACCCAGCCTAGCAAGAGCAAGAGCAACATTGCCAGCGCAACTCCCGGGTGCCCTAACGATTTTTTCTGGTGCCCATCGAGCTCCTTTCATTCTCTCATTAATTTCGTAATCCACAAGTCTGTTGGCTGGTCTTCCAGAAGGAACAAAAGCAAGCTGTGCAGCCCCGAAGCAACAAACGAGCGGAGGCCATCCGTAGGTAAAATTAATATCTTCACCTTCATCTATGTTCAATTCAAGGTCTTCCTCACTCTCATCACCTGCATTTGACATTAAAGCCGATTCCTCCATGTCACAAATTTCAGATTCACTTTATTGCACTCCTTTATCATCATCCTTCTTCGTCGTCCTTCTCCTCCTCACCTTTTTCTCTGGTGTTGGATTTAGGAATTAAAATAAAAAATTTAATTATTTATTGTTTATTTTAATCCTTTATGAAAAAAATATTGATAAAATATGCCATGTCATAGGTAATTAATAATAAAATAAGCCATATCTTCCTGGAGGGACTAAAATAGGAGTAATTCAAAAGTTTAGTAAACAAATTAAAAAAAATAAAAATACTGTGAGTGAAATAGGAGAGAAAGTATAATTAAATAAAGAATGATGTAATTTACCCCTATTTTACCGAACACTAAATTATAGGGCCTCAAACGGCGCAAAATCTCTCTCCACACTGCAGTGCCTCGGTACTTGTATTCATTAAAGTCATCACTTGTATTTCTTCTTGGACGAACTTGCAGGCAAGGAACTCTTGTTTAATTTTTTCGTATTTTATTAGTAAATTGAAAGGTTTTGTTTTCTGTAAACTTGGGTATGTCTAAATTTGATCTCATTTCTTCAATTTATAACTGCAGTTTGATGCTGGTAATAGAAGCAGTTGAAGAAACTTATTGATAAATGAATCTTTTCAAGAAGCTTTTGCCCACCAAACATGAGATTATTGGTGCCCAAAAGTATTGCAAAGGTAAATATCAAATTTAGACCTTTTTATATATGGGTTTTAACAATGGTCAAATTCAGCTTTTGGATGTGTTTATTGCACTCATTCACTAGGGATTCTTCGAATTGTTCGAAACTCGATGCTAAAGTTCAGGTTTTCCCCGGATTTACTTGTGGGTGTTAGTTTCAGAATGTAAACTTTCTTTGCTTTAGTTATTTGAATTGGTGATTGGTTTAAATGGAAAAGAAACTTGAATCTGTTAATTCTATACAAATTAATCACTTTATAGCTTTTTGGTAGTAACTTTTTGTTAACCTTTACTGCAGCATCTTTCTCTGCATTTCTGCACTCAGCCCCAGATCACTCCGTTGAAGTTCATTCTCCGGAACAGGAAGTGGTGATTGCTTTAGGAAGCAATGTTGGTGATAGACTTGATAATTTCAATCAAGCCTTGCAGTTGATGAGGAAATCGGGTATCGATATCATAAGATATGGTTGTTTATACGAGACAGCACCTGCTTACGTCACTGATCAGCCTCGATTTCTAAACTCTGCAGTTAGAGCTGTTACAAAGCTAGGTCCTCATGAACTTTTGGGTATTCTTAAGACAATTGAGCGGAACATGGGTCGTACCGGTGGAATAAGGTATGGTCCGAGGCCAATTGATCTAGACATCTTGTTTTATGGAAAGTACCGAATTGGTTCTGATATACTTACAGTCCCCCATGAGAGAATTTGGGAGCGACCATTTGTAATGGCTCCATTAGTGGATTTACTAGGATCGGTTATCGACAGTGATACTGTTGCTTGCTGGAATTCTTTTTCAATAGATTCAGATGGACTATTTGGTTTATGGGAGAAATTGGGTGGTGAATCCCTCATTGGAAAGGAAGGGATGAAGAGGGTTTTACCGATTAGGAATCACTTGTGGGATTGGTCGGAGAAAACCTCTGTCATGGGTGTTCTCAATCTGACTCCAGATAGTTTTAGCGATGGTGGAAAGTTTGTATCGGTGGAGACTGCAGTTTCTCATGTTTGTTCAATGATTTCAGAAGGAGCAGATATAGTAGATATTGGAGCACAGTCTACCCGACCAATGGCCTCTAGGATATCCGTGGAAGAAGAATTAGATAGGTTAATCCCTGTCTTAGAAGCTGTTCTTGGAATGCCTGAGATGGAGGGGAAGCTCGTATCCGTGGATACTTTCTATTCGGATGTTGCTGCAGAGGCAGTAAATAAAGGAGCTCATATTATAAATGATGTATCTGCCGGGCAGTTAGATACTAACATGCATAAGATGGTTGCTAACCTTAATGTTCCTTATATCATGATGCACATGAGGGGAGACCCTACTACGATGCAGAATAATGAGAACCTGCAATACAGTGATGTTCGTTCTCAGGTTGCCTCTGAGTTGTTGTCGAGAGTTAGGGATGCAGAGTTATCCGGAGTTCCGGCTTGGAGGATTATTCTCGACCCCGGAATCGGATTTTCCAAGAATACTGAACATAATTTGGACATCCTCAGAGGCTTACCAGTCATTCGTTCGGAGATTGCTATGCAAAGTTTGGCAGCCTCTCATGCTCCTTTACTTATCGGACCATCAAGAAAACGTTTTTTAGGTGAAATTTGTGACCGCCCGGATGCAGTCGAAAGAGATCCTGCAACCATTTCTTGTGTCACAGCTGGGATTTTAGGAGGGGCAAACATTGTTAGGGTGCACAATATTAAAGACAATGTGGATGCTGTGAAAGTTTGTGATGCAATGCTGAAAGAGAGATCTCCTTTATAAACCAGTCTTGAACTTCAGAACTCATGAAGTTTTCGTACCAAACTTGTATTTGGAAATCAGATTGGATTGATAATTTTGTTGTGAACTGAAATTTGCAGACAATGGAATAATATCAATTAATATCAACTTGACACTTACGATTTTTTTTTGGTCCAATTAGGTACATGAACTTTTCTCAAATTGATCCATACAATAAATGGTTTGTTTGAATCATGAATCCAAGTTTAGATATCAATTTAAACCAAAAGACCAAATATAATAACCTAATTGGACCAAAAAAGTTCATGTACCAAATTAAACATTGAGGTCAACTTAAAGTAAAAATATATCAAATTGAACATTAAATTCAAATACCAAAATATGCTTTTAACCATATTTTAAAGATAATTGCATTTGGATAGGTCCGGTATTCAAAACAAGCAATCTTTCAAGTAAAATCACATTTACTAGTAACCGCTAGTAGCTGGCCTTATGGAGCTCCATGCATCATTGAAGTCTATCGTGCCTTCTTATATAGGCTTTTTTTAATTTTAGTGCTCTACAATACATGCCAAAATCTACGTAAAAGAGAAGATCATATCAGTTATCGCAATCAAAGGGCACCATTGGAAACCGATGCTCCCCTCTTGAAGCTATCCCTCTTCGTAGTTTCAAACACATGCAAACCACTTGAATAGATGCTTTTACTTGCATTGTATTATAACCTTTGTTCTTCAGATAGGATTTTGTAGTAATAAGTTTAAAAACAAAAACAGATGAACATGCAAGCTACCGAGTACTTTTTATTTAATCCGCTTACTTTCCATTAAACATTTTAGAAAAAGCCGTTCATACAGAGAAATCACAACACAGAATGAGACGATCATAGCATTTCACTCTGTAATCCCATAATCTTGTTCATCCACTTTTGCGCAGATCACGAAAATAGCTTGCCGGATCATGTTCGAAATCGTCTCGGACAATACGATAGTTTCTTCCGGGAGCCTTCATTGTTTTCTTATCCTTCACTGTCTTCTCATCGCTGCTTGATCCCAGGAGCTTAAAACCGCCAACTACCAGCCCCACAGCCAGAGCTGCTCCAACCGCCACATTTGCCAGAATCGACTGAGCACCATTTTCGGTTTGTTCGACATCGCCATTGCCATCGCCGTGCTTGCCACCGCCGTGCTTGCCACCCATTTTCGATGTGCTTCAAAGGGAATAGAATTAGAGTTGGTTAAATAGTGATGTTTTGGACACTTGCTTAATTAATTATTCTGAGGCTCTGTTTTTTCTTTCCAAGTTTTCTTATCGTATGGTCCTCTTTTATAGCTAACTTCTTTTCTTTTCGTATTAGTTGAGCTTTTGCTCTTTCTATAGTCTTTATCATTTTAATCATAATTTCTATATCATTCATATCTATCTTATATCCATGGATTAAATCTAATAATTCAACATTTCTATGCATGCTTAATGATGAAATAACTCTAATGAAAGACAATTAATAATGAAGATATTCTTTTTATGAACATTTTAAAGTATTCACCCCTTATCCTAGCCAACAAATAAAATATTATAAGCATACTTGTGAATCTTAGTTAACTATCTTATACTTCTCGTACATAACTCGCTCATCATTTCCTCACAAACAGTTCTGTATATAACTCGCGCACCATATCCTCACAAACGGTTAATCAAGTGTTATATCTCTCTTATCTAGGTTCCCATGGCTCTTCCAACTGCAATTCCCCTCAAACGCCCACATGGCTAAAACGGGTACTTCGTGCAAGGACGTTCCCCTCTTGAACCAGAGGAACAGAACATAACATAGACAACCATTTCATGTTTGGATTAGGTGAGAAATATGTAACTGTTTCATGTTCTGATTAGGTGAGAAAGATCTCAAAGTAAAGAAGTTTTCTAAGAATCAAAGTAAAATATGTTATTTATTCATTAGTCTAAGGAAGTGAATAAAGTTAGTTCATAATATAAGAATATACCTCTTTCTTGTCTATCTTTCCTGAGAGCGCTTCTATAATGAGAGAGAATTGATGAAAACCTTTTGAGAATTTTATTACTGAAATGAGAGCTTCTCCGTTAGGATCTGCCGCTCTTCGTTTCTTACATTTCATTTTATAGAGAAGTCCTACTGCTCCATTACATCATCATTGCTTATGTATTCTATTTTACAGTCGTTACATACTTTAATAAAGCAGATTCTTTTCAGAGTACATTATTGCTAAAATACAAAATATGTTATTTTCATGCTGAGTGTTCAAAATGTCTATGGAGCTTGGTTTTCTAGTTTTCGTGTTGAAAATTGGTGTGAATCACCCAATTCCACCGAAAGTGCAGCTTTGAAAATATGGTAATGAGAAAATTGTTCATTTAATCTTTAAACTTTAGGGTATTTATAATATTAGTCCTTAAGCTTCAACTATAAATACGCTAACTCATTTAGCTTCAAAATCATCCCAAATCATTCTAGCTTTCTCCCAATACTAGAGAATTTAGAGAGTTTTCTTGAGAGTTATTTTCTCATTTCTATCAAGAGAGAATTGTTATTGTTTGCTACTTGTTAGATCGAGAGAAGTTGTAATTCCTATTTTCCCATAGTGAAATTCTTCTACCATTGCCCGTGGTTTTTATCTTATATTATTTAGGGGTTTTCCACGAAAAATTTGTGTCTTCTTTATCTTCATTTTTATTTTCTTAAATTATTAGTTGCGATTTTGCTCTATCCGATAGTCGTATTCCACGTATTCTATTTTACAGTCGTTACATACTTTAATAAAGCAGATTCTTTTCAGAGTACATTATTGCTAAAATACAAAATATGTTATTTTCATGTTAAGTGTTCAAAATGTCTGTGGTGCTTGGTTTTCTAGTGTTTCGATCACTATTGTTAAGCTTCGAAGCATTTCTATGGGCTTTGGTCATCGTGGGTCGGCACTAATGTAACACTCTCAACCCGTATCCGACCCGGATTCAAGTCTGAGGTATCACATTGACTTTTCAAAACTTTTGCTTGTACAAAATTAGTGAATAATTTAAAACTAAAACTTTAGTTGTTAACATACATATTATTCATCTTTCTTCTGATCTGACCTTCAGTAAGGAGAACTGACCTTTCTTGCTCCACATTGCTCTTTACTCTTCTCACTTCTGTAACCTACGTGTGAAACAATCACACGCTAAGTCTATAACTTAGTGAGACAATAAACATATAATGTAAACATTTACTAGTAATCATTTCTTACAACTCATATATTGTTATATGTAACAAATACATACATACATATATGTCATTATCATTCATATCTATTATCTCCTGTTCCTATGATCTTTTATGTCCATATTATATATCTGATAGACTTGTTATTATATCATCATGTCAATCAATTATACTCATTCACATATACCTTAACATGTACTCACGTATACCATATAATATATATATATATATATATATATATATATCATGTTATGTAAAACATATATACTATCGTAAATCAAACACACAAGCAACTATATCATCATCTTCATTCTTATCACTATCATTGATTCATTTTATCATATAATCTTATAATTACCATTTGTACCATCATATATCACACATAACATTTCATAAGGAAACAAACATATCATCATATCCAATTTATTAATATTATCTCTTTATTAGCCCATGGTACACATGTGAGAACTGTAGATACGTGAGTCTATTGAGGTTGTGCACCACTATGTTGTCACCACAGCTCGTATAAATGTCACGAATGACCTATCCAGAGGTCATAAAGATCCTCGGTAACTATCCATAGGTCCCGAAGAACCTAGGTAAACTGTCCATATGTTCCTTAGAACATAGGTAAACCCTCGACTCTTGGCATGCCAACTATATCTCTAGCTCTCAATACACATAACATGAGCATTTTCACTTATACACTTTCATTGCTCTTATGATCACATATTACTTTTCTTCTGTCACATATCACATGTGCATATAGTCATATAGTTTACTTTCATGTAATTCATGTCACTTTTCATATAAACATATGATTCACTTTCACGTATCACATATACTTTCTCTTTCATATAACTCATGTCTTGTGATCATGTAAACACGTACCACATATCATATGAATCATATAAATAATGTTACATATACTTATGCATACATAGAATTCACAACTCAAATAACATTTTACGAGTTACTTATTACCATAGTAACTCCGTCACTGGCTCATCGCAAGCCAATGCTTATTCGATAACATAAGTACAATGAAATTGCATTCACCTTGGCCTTACTAAGTTTCAATACACTTTATGATTTCCTCTCTTTTGATCGGATCTTAACTTGATACACAACCCGGAACTTGTTCGTGTTCGATATCTACATAATTATACATTGATACATATCAGTATCCCATTGTTATAATCTAATCTATCATTTCTTATACCAGAAGAAATGTCTATTTCAATTTCCCCTTGAAGTGTATCGATGCATGCTACAGTGCATCGATGCATTCTTTAACATGTGCATCGATGCACTACCCATGCATCGATACACAAATTACCTTCGATGTTTTCATTTTAAAGAGATGCATCGATGCACTCCTTATGCATCGATTCACCATTTGCATTCGATGATTCTTCTTTAAAGAGTTCATCGATGCTCATTCAATGTGCATCGATACACCTTGCCCAGAATTTGCATTTTAAGCTCGAAAATCCATTTAATTCAACTCAAATGCTTCATATTTCATCCCCTTTCATATTCCTTACTTACATATATATATTTGCCCTCATTTCTACTAATAATCACTTCTTTAACCTCCATATCCTATTATCCTTAAGAAATTCAAGAATCATACCCAAATTTTAACATGTTACAAATCCAATTCTAATACTTCATACATGTTAATTAGATTGATGACAAGTCAAATTCACTCTAAAACCTCGTTAAAGAACCCTCTTTCAAGATTTCACTTATTCCTCCCTTTTCTTTAATCCCCTCTATTCTCTTCATCTTATTGTTTCAAGATAATTTAAGCTCTTCTTATGCTTAATTATCACCTAATAATCAAAATTCAACCTTAAATTTCAGCTAATAATCAACAAATAAAGAAACTCACCTTTGCCTAGCTTGGGCACGTTGGAGAAGAAGAAAGCAAGTGAAGAAGAAGAGAGTTTTCATCTTCCTCTCCCCTACGTGTTAATCTCCTAATAAAGGGGAGAAAATATCTTTCTTTGTCAATTGACCATTTTACCCTTTACTTTATTTAATAATTACCAACAACTTTTATTATTTATTTCCAAATAAATCATTGAACTAATCCATGGTTCTACTCTAGTCACCAAATTCTGAAACTTTACAATTTGATCACTAACCTGGTATTGAGGATGTTACAACTAATCTAGGGGCAAGTTAGCCTTAAACGAAACCCCTTCTCACATTTAACCCGAAAACCAAGCCTAAATCCCCTAAAACATAACCCCTCTCCTTAGATCTAAAATATAAATCTAGTGATTACCTTCGAAAGTTGAAGACTTTGGCTTGATGGAGATCACGGTTCCAAGTAAGAACAAAGGTAATATCTTTTCTTTTTTTTTGAGGGGTTGTTTGTTCGAAAATGGTGGTTTTTATTTCGACCGTTTCCTTCTTTCTCTTGGTTCGAATGTCTCGATTTATGGTGATTTTCGGATGAAAATCATGAGGTCTTGCCATAGGGGAATGATTTCCTTGTCTTTTGACTGATTTGAGTGATTTTTTGTACTTTTTGGCAGGATTTGATGACAACGGTGGCTCGGGGACTCACCGGCGGCAACTCATGCGACGGGGAAACAAAAGGTTAGGCACGTGTACCACACGCGCCGGTGACGATCGGTCCATTTTGGGTCGGCAACGGCTGTTGTGGGGAACATTAGGGTGAAAACCCTAATTTGTTGTTGGATGTTGTATTGGGCTTGCTGAATAACATGTATTGGACTTGGGGTGTATTTTGGGCTACAAAAATGTAAAAGAATATTGTATGTTAGTATTTTGTTTATAATAATAATAGTAATAATAATAATTAATAATAACAATTACTATTAATAACAATAATACTTAGTAATAATAAATAATAATTATTATAATAATCAATAATTATTATTATCAATAATGATTAATAATACTAATAATATGCAAAATTTATGAGAATTGGCTCTGGACAAAATTAGGTGTCTACGGGCACCATTCGGGTCTGGTCGTAGGGTTTGCCCCGGCAAAGCCATGGGTCTGGCGACGGTTCATCTATGGTTGGTTCAGTTACTTCGTGCCTTCGAATGGGTTACCTGTGAGGATGATGGTGATGCGCTGGACTTGACTGAGCATTTGAAGCAATCCATGGAAATGAAGAAGTCTTTGGTTTGCAAGGCAATACCAAGGGTTTGTTGAAACTGTCTTCTGGTGCATGGCTTGGAGTTTGGACTTTGCTTTTCTTTTAGTTTCCATTTAGGGTTTATTTTTTTTAATATTATCTTCTATTAGATGCTACTGCTTGGATTTTATTTGTAGTTGGGGGAAACTAAGGATGACGTAGATGAGCTTAGCTTTGTACAATGTTTTCTCAGAACGTTTCTATTTTGCTATACTTACATTGTATTATAACCTTTGTTCTTCAGTTAGGATTTTGTAGTAAAAGTTTAAAAACAAAAACAGGTGAGCATGCAAGCCACCAAGTACTTTTTATTTAATCCGCTTACTTTCAGTTAAACATTTTAGAAAAAGCCATTCATACAGAGAAATCACAACACAAAATGAGACAGTCATAGCATTTCACTCTGTAATCCCATAATCTTGTTCATCCACTTTTGCGCAGATCACGAAAATAGCTTGCCGGATCATGTTCGAAATCGTCTCGGACAATACGATAGCTTCTTCCGGGAGCCTTCATTGTTTTCTTATCGCTGCTTGATCCCAGGAGCATAAAACCGCAAACTACCAGCCCCACAGCCAGGGCTGCTCCAACCGCCACATCTGCCGGAGTCAACTCACGGTCGAGAACAGAACAACGCAGTTGATCACCATTTTCGGTTCGTTCGCCATTGCCATTGCCGTTGCCGTGCCTTGGGTTCTTGCTCTGGATGCCACCCATTTTCGATGCTCTTCAAAGGGAATAGAATTAGAGTTGGTTAAATAGTGGAGTTTGGGACACTTGATAACGGAGCTTAATTAATTATTCTGAGGTTCTTGGGACGGGGTGCCATTTATTAGTTCACTGCTCAAGAATCTTCCTTCAACATTTGATTAGACTCGCAGAAGCCTAACAGACTAGAAACAAGAAACGTATATAGCCCAAGTTCAAAGCAACAACCAATACCCTTCAAACGTATCGTACTGCTCCATTAATCATCCTTCAACGTTTCTTTTATTAGCAGCGCGCACACATGTATAATACAGTCCAAGTTCAAAGCTATATCCCACACCCAAAGAACCTAAGCCACCGTAGCTGAAACTATGCAGCAATAATTTTTGAATGTATGATGGTTTTTCCAGTTTATAAATTCCAAAATCGGATAATTATCTCTAGATATGATTAAAAGTTCTTGATTGACACTTTTCATTTTCTCATGTTCAATATCTATTTAGAACAAAATTTCTCTTTCCTTCTCTTAGATAGAAATAGTACAAAAAAATTCAATAATCGATCATAATAACCAATACAATCAATCATTCATAATCGAATCGAATTAATTGAAAGGATAGATTTTAGGGATCCAACTAGAGATTGGATACACAATTGCCTAATTACTCTCGGGTGTAAGAGTGATAAGGCATAGGCTCATTAATCGCTTCTTATAATATATTCTAAATCTAAATTAATCCAAAAAAACTTATAATAGATTTCAATTAATTTAAAATCGACTGAACTAAATGATTTTTTTCAAATTGATTAATAATTTTAAAAAAATAATTTGATTATCAATTAAATAAAAAATTAATTAATTTGATTTTAGTAATTTGATATGGATCACTAAATTAAAATACTTTAAATATTTAATAAATAGGACCGTGACCGGGATCTACAAATCTGCGGGCTGAGGTAAAACGACGCCATTTCATGACAACTCTACAAGAAGTAAAAGCAAGAAAACCGAAGTACGTACGACACCAAAGAAAGAAGGATAAAATATTCTATTAGATCACAGAAATGGAAGATTTTTGGAAGCGAGCGAAATCCTTCGCGGAAGAAGCGGCTAGGAAATCACAGTCTCTAACGGCGCCGAGCAAAATCGCCGATCTTGTAGCCGAAACTGCCAAGAAGTCAAAGGAACTTGCTGCAGAAGCCACCAAGAGAGCCGATGAGCTCAAAACTGCCGCTCTCAAGCAAGCCGATCAAATCCAAATTCAAGGCATTTCCAACTCCATTTCCGATTTTATCCCTCCTCAACTCTCCTCCCTCTCCATTACCTCTCCCGCCTCCACTTCTTCCGATTCTCAACCAATCTCTGATTCGGAGCTCCAGAAGTTCGGAATCACCGATGATTTGAGAGACTTTGTCAAAGGCTTTACTCCAAGTACTTTCCAGAACTTCCCTTCCCCTGTCCAAGGTAAAATTTTCGTTTAAGTTAAAAAAAAAATTTCTTAAAGAGAAAATTGTCTGAATGAATGTTAAAAAAGACTGAATGTTTTGGATTTCCTTGTAGATGAACCAGAGCCGTCCGATGTGACTACTACGGAGTCCAATGTACGTAAGGATCTGAGTGAATGGCAAGAGAGGCATGCGACACTTGTTCTTACTACTGTGAAGGTAGAGAGAGAGAGAGAGAGAGAGAGAGAGAGAGAGAGAGAGAATGGTACATTTCATCGTAGATTTTATCACAATAAGGCTGCGTTTGAGGATCCTAATTGCTGAATTTGGCATTGAGATTAACTTCTTTTTAGGTCAACTCTTTTTTGTCGTTGTAATTTTTAATTGCAAAGGAAATGCCAAAATAGACATAAGTTTACTAGGAATTGCAGTAATCATGTCAGATTTTATACTTGTAATACTTGATTAATGTGAAACGTATTATTCTTATGCAGGAAATCAAGAAATTAAGATATGAATTGTGTCCACGTTTGATGAAAGAAAGGAGTTTTTGGAGGATATATTTCACTCTCGTTAGCACTCATGTTGCACGATAAGTTTTGAATTATTGTTGTTGTGATAATGATGATAATTTAGGGTTAGGGATCCAATTCTAATTATGATGTACGCTGTTTACATTTATCAGTTATGAGAGGCAGTACATGGAGGAAGTTAAACAGAGAGAAGTGGAGGGGGAAAAAGAGGATAAACCCAAGGAAAAACCTGTTGTGAAGGCAGAACCGGAAAGTAGTTTGAAAACTAAAACATCGAGCTCATCTGCCAAGCAAGATTTGGATACGTTTTTGTTGGGAGATTTTGATAGTGATGGGGGTGGTGGTATGTTCATTGGAATTCTTTCTATTGGTTTCTGATTTGTACTATCTTCATGTGTTTCTCTTTTCCTTTAGATTCTATATTATATTGAATTGCTTGCTCCTGAAATAACTTAATGGTTTTTAACATTTTATGTCGATGACTTCATTTTGAAATCATTTGATTGTTTCTTCCGATTGTCAAAGCCTGATCATGTATTTGTTGTGTTGTCTAACTTTATTTGGCTGATTTAATGTTACATGTATATCTTGGCGGAGGTGTTTTATCCACGTTAAGACATGTCTATGTTACTCGGTTTTGGGTGTGAGTGTAGGATTCATGTATATATCCGACACAGATATGTTCTATCTTTTTATAGTGTTTCCATGTATTTTGAGGATCTTAAGAGGGCCATATTCCTGTACCCATGTCCAAATGTGTTTTGGAAACGGTCACTTCATGAAAAATGAAGAGTTGGAGACGTGCTGAACTGGGTAAACTTAAATGAGGCAATCATTGCGACAATGTGTTGTGTTTCTTTGTTCATAGAAAACAATGTAGCAATGAATGGGACTCAGATGTTATGTTTTTTCTTTTTTTGATTCTTTCTTTTATCATCTTATACTGTAAGTATCTAATTTATTCGCAGATGGTGTTGTTGATGCTGGTGGGAGCCTGGATGATGATTTTGACAAGATTGAAAATTCTGTAAGCTTGAATAATTTTTTTCTTCCTCTTATTAAGGTGCCCAAACTATAAACAGTGCTGCCTGTTGCATCGTTTGATCTATGTTTCATGTCATATTTAAGTTTCGCCCCAACAATGCCTGTGCTAAGATTCTTCGTTTCCTGAATTGGTTGTAACATTTGATTAAAGCTCCATGGAAACTTTCAGGATGTTGAAGATGAGAAGAAGAATGCTGCAGGAACAAAAGCTTAGAGTTGGACTATGTTAACACATTGGAGTGAGAGGTCTGAACTTTGCTGCCATGGTGAGGAAAAGAGGGGAGTAGTGATGGCAGAAGCTGTTAATGGTTATCCGAAAATATGATTTCGGTGGTTGAAATTTGGTACTTGTATTTTATGTTTGGTCGATTGGAAGAGAGAAGATTTGGTATTTGTTTATTTATTATAATTCAAGAAACAATTGCAGGTTCTGGGGCCAGAACATCATTATATGCCGTGTACAGAGAATTCTTTCTACTATTCTAATTATTCTTGTTAATGCTTCTGAATATTGAATTTCTCTTTAAAAAAGAATACCCTTTATCCTTTTCCCTATTATTTATCTCATATATCCCATATATACTGGTAGGATTCGATTATACAGTACAACAAGAAAAAGAAAATTAATACAGTTTCAGTCAATGATTTATATTAATTTAATATTATAAATTAGTGGAGAATTTGTTAATTTTATGCAGCATAATTGAATCAATATATATATTATTTTCTGTTTTTGTTTAAGTTTATTATTATAAATTATCAATTTAATTATACAAATTAAAAATCAAAATCAAAATCATAATTACAATATAGAGATAATAATCCTCTCGGTTTTTTAGAACTTTGTCCTAATTAATTTGGACTGATTCGTGTTGTACATTTGATTTTGGTTGGTAAGTCTGTCAACGAGAATTTTCTATATACACAATGTCTCAAACTCAGGCATACTTACGCGTATAAAATTGCTTACCCCTTTTAATTTTTAATTAACAACTATTCCAAATATAATCGTTCACTGGAAATTAATTAATCTCAAATCCAATCCTAGTCAAACCTTAAAAGTTTGGAAACATTATCTCTAAAAGCCTACTTTATTCTTAATAATTACTATTTTTCAACTTTATCACTTATATTTTCATGAATGCCTGCTTCCTTCATACTTCTGCCATGGCTTTAGTTCTTCGCACAGAACTTGAATGCATCCATTAACTTCCTGCAAGATCCAGGGTTACATGACCTAATCTTGTTAATAAAGAACATGGAACACTTTCCGAGATCCATGATCTTTCTTTAATCATGTTGTACCTTAGCATGCGTTATCCCCCTATTCGAACGCTTTCCGAGATCCATCTGCACTGAGATGTTCGCCTGTGACAGATCCAAACCGCAGTGCTTGTGTGAGAGAGTTCAATAACCTGCTCGACATCAAACATTACCAACTTGTTCATCATCGAAACTTTCAACGAGAACGTTTAACAACACAGGTGCCTCGCAATCTATAACAAGCAATGATTTACGAGCTTGCAGGGGAAAATCCTACCACGAGCAGAACTTATATTTCGACGGTAATAAACTCTCTGAACACGAAAAGCACAAGAATATATACTCACCCTTGAGAGTAGACGCTAGAGATGCTAATCGTTCCTCCTTCGATTGTCAGATCATCCTGTTGGTTCGACGTACCATTGCGGATAAGACAGTTGATTGAACCTTGGACACTAGTCCTTCGGTAATAATTATTAATATTATTCTTTCATTTTACATTACATTTGTGCATGCAAAAGTGCATCTTTGTATTGTTCCTTTACGATGTATTTGTCTGTTCTTTAGTGCTTTCGATCCAAAATTTGTTCTTGAATACCATTTAGCTTTTTATTTTTTAAAACGGAAATGAATTTTCCAGCCGTTTCGTTTTTAACAAAAGGTTCATCTTTATTATCCTGTATCTGTATGATTTAGTTTTCTGTATATATAGCTTCAAAAATCTTTTAACTTTGATCAAAGCATAGTTTTTGGATGGAGAAAACAGCGATGGGAGAGTTCTATCCCGGTTTAAAGTTCAACCCGGTTCAACACCGGATATAATCCGGGCCATGTAAGTCGTAGACAGAAAATGTATTAGCAGTCACTTATAGTAATAACTCAAAAAATGGAAATAAAATAATGTTCTCCTGGTTCAATGGACTATTCTTCTTGTATTTTTAGTCAAAATACGTGGCTTGATGTATATGGATAATGTTCATGAGAAAAGTCAGTACTTTATACTTCACTTCATACGTTGAACTGACGAAACACCAAACCTTATTTTCAACGATGACTGTTGAAAAATACACCGTTTTTGTGGACAGAAGTCACAGAACTTATACGGAAACTGCAGATATTATTTTACAGTAATCCTTTTTCATTGGCTGTTGCTGTTAGTCAATAAGTCTATTAGACAATTACTTTTGTTTTTTTATAATTGTTTCAATCAAAAGATCTCTAAGTCGAACCAATTGTTATCAACCAACTTGTTAGAAAAATGTGCTCTAAAAGTCAAGCTTAACTTTTTATAATTATATAGCTATATATGTTTTACAGAACTGTTCACATGTAAGCACATGGTCAGTTTTGTAATATAATTCTTTCAGACCAGACAAAAGCTTTTTTTCCTTTCTTATTCTTGGAGTAGGACAGCTCTATGTATGTATGTACGTATGTACGTATGTACGTAAGTATGCATGTATGCATGTACGTATATACGCATGTACGCATGTACGTATGTATGCGTGTACGCATGTACGCGTGTACGCATGTACGTATGTACGCGTGTACGCATGTACGTATGTATGTATGTACGCATGTACGCATGTACGCATGTACGCATGTACGCATGTACGCATGTACGCATGTACGCATGTACGCATGTACGCATGTACGCATGTACGCATGTACGCATGTACGCATGTACGCATGTACGCATGTACGCATGTACGCATGTATGTATGTATGTATGTATGTATGTATGTATGTATGTATGTATGTATGCATGCATGTATGTATGTATGTATGTATGTATGTATGTATGCATGCATGCATGTATGCATGCATGTATGCATGTATGCATGCATGTATGCATGTATGCATGTATGCATGCATGTATGCATACATGTATGTATGTACGTATGTATTTGTTGCTGTCAAGCTTAAAGGAGAATTGTGTACCATTTGTGAATCACAGGTACAAGAAAAATCAGAGAAGCAGAAAGCAATTGATGATTGGCTACCTATTAACTCATCAAGAAATAGAAAATGGTGATTTTCAGCTTTCCACAATGTCACTGCCATGCCATGGCCGAGCTTGGATGGTATGTTACGATACTTCAACGCAAAAGGAATATGGAAATTGAATTCGATAGATTTATCTCTCGTTTTTGTTTTGTTTTCAGGGGTCCTGGTGTGTTTATCATGGTCTTCTCGTGGATCATTACCTTGTATACTCTATGGCAAATGGTCGAGATGCATGAGCTTGTTCCCGAGAAACGTTTCGATCGGTACCATGAACTGGGACAATATGCCTTTGGCGAAAAACTCGGTCTCTACATTGTGGTGCCACAGCAACTTGTGGAAGTTGGTCTCTGTATTGTTTACATGGTTACCGGCGGTCAATCGTTGAAGAAGTTCCACGACACTGTCTGTCTTAGCTACAAACAAATTAAGCTGACGTATTTCATCATGATTTTTGCCTCTGTTTAATTTGTGCTGTCTCACCTTCCTGATTTCGACTCGATTTTTGGTGTTTCCTTGGCTGCTGCTGTCATGTCCTTGAGGTATATAACAAATTCACAATTCACATCCTCTGTTGTGCCTTATTGATAAATGTTAACTTATAACGATAACGTTTAACAACACAGGTGCCTCGCAATCTATAACAAGCAATGATTTACGAGCTTGCAGGGGAAAATCCTACCACGAACAGAACTTATATTTCGACGGTAATAAACTCTCAGAACACGACTAGCACAAGAATATATACTCACCCTTGAGAGTAGACGCTAGAGATGCTAATCGTTCCTCCGATGATTGTCAGATCATTCTGTTGGTTCGACGTACCATTGCTGATAAGAAAGTTGATTGAACCTCGGACACTAGTCTCTGAAGTGGATGACCAAACACATTATCACCCGAAACTGACAGAGCATTCCCATGTTCGCCAACTGGGTTGCTGATCCATAGCTTTGGATGTCGCATCTGCATCTCTGATAGGATCAACTTCCACAGGATTCAGTGCACTTGTGGTCAGGGCTGATATTGATGTTATTCTCATCTATCTTCCCGGGAAACCCGGGAAACGTTGACAACGGGCCAGAATCATTTTTAATAGCTTGCGGTTGACCAGCAAAGCTCTGAACATGCCAAGGACTGATTCTCTATTCAATCACATGCCAAGGACTGATTCTCTATTCAATCAAGGCAAGTGTAAGCTATTAGTCAGGAGTTTAATATAAAAAATAAGCAAGCTCTATTTACAGCTGCTTTCTTCAAGACCAAGTAAATCATTAATGCAATGAAATTTAAGCAAACATCGTCAATTCACATGGAAAAAGCACCTAAATTTCAGTGCCATTTCAAGTACTTAAAACGTTTTATAAACTGAACTTAACATTTCTTCCTAAAATAATCGGATGGCTTCACACAAAAAGATCTCTCTTCCATAAAAGCTCAGTAGAATCATCTTGAATTCATGATTCAGTGAGTTAGATGGGTAGCAACAATATTTACATAACAAAAGTAAACCTCGCAGTAATAAAGTTCAAACTTTCATAGGATCAACCTATCCTAAGCCATTACAATCAATGATTTATGCAATTGCCGTAACTTTAACTCCCTAAACAAATAGAACTAGTTGAAGGGTAAGGCTAAAAAACCTCCAATTTCCATGGAAATGAACTAATGATAAAAAGATGGACACATACCTCTCATTTATCTTACTCCTCTGCTCGGTGACTATGTTTTGATCGCATAGTTTTAGCCTTATCACTGTTCTTCCCATCTGCCTCTACAACCCCAGAAAAAGAGAAGAATAATAAACAAAAGAAAACAAAAGGCACCATTTAAGAAACAATCATATAGAAATATGGTAATAGAGAGGAGAGGGAAAAGTGTAGGATCCAATGTAATAAAAATAACATTGCTGATGTCGGCGTTGTTATTGGCGTTGACAAAGAGAGTATGAGCAGAAGAAGGTCCTGTTCTTTTTTTAGCCAAACTCATCTTCCTCTTGACTTCCGATTCCTGTTTTCATTTCTTTTTTCTTCCCCGGATGTCGCAAACAATTAAAAGGAAACCACAGAAAAGTAAAAGATTGAAAAAGGTGAAACTTTCTGTTAGATTGATCGGAAAAAAGTGGAAGAAAATTATGGAGTTTTGTTGGTTGGTGCCGACGAGAACACAAACAGTGTAATTCAACTGAACAAAGATCATCGCTTTGATGGAAGGAAAGTGGCGACAACAACAAACAATGATGGTGGAAAGTGAGTCATGTGAGTGAAAATGAAATTTCCTGGATTTCCCGCCAACTTTTTACTTTAATTGAGCCTTCATTTGTTCTTTACCATGTCATATTGGCCCCATGATGATAATGACGAAAATAGTTAGTAACAAATTTGTAGATATTGTCGGTGTTTATAAATCGGGTCTAGTTATATATATACATGAATTTAGATGTTAAATAATTAAACTCGTTAAATTATTTTAACGATAATAGAAAATATTAATATTTTAAAAAAAAATAAATTTTATAACTACGTCTATATAATATTTTTACGTTATCATTGTACGATTTAATACGGATTATCCCTTGAGGCACATAACATATTTTTATGGGTCATAGGCCAAGGATTCCTTCCCGGGCCTAGCCGTGGCCTAGTTCCTAAATATAATTTATATTCATGCTTAAATTTGATTTGAATAATTTTTTTTCTATTTTTACATTATAAATAAATCTTTTATTATTTAATTTAATTTGAATTAGATTAATTTAAATCTAAAAAAGAAATTACAACCGGCCTTTGAACATTGTCTATAAACCTTTGAAAGTTGGACTCATGGTTTGAAGTTAGACCAAATAGGTCCAAACAAAATATGAGCTAAAAAAGCCCGCAATATATTGAGAATTTGTGGTGTTTTTATATTTTTAAATATACACTAAAATAAATAAAATATTAATGATAATTAATCAAATATAATAACTATTTAATATATTAACAATATGTTTTTCTAAAAATGATATTAATTGACCGTCATATAAAATATAATTGATTTTTTATTTATGTTTATAATAATATTTAGGTTATCTATAGTCGATCATTTAATGATAACAATATATAGATGATGAGTGGTGCCCTATGCTTTCAGAGAGGAAGAAGATGTGATGGTCCAAGATCTTTTCTTTTGGTTTTGACTGTGGTAACTCTTAATGTTAATGTTAGATGTAGGGTTAAAATGACTGCTCGTAAATTAATAAATTAAAAAATATGATTGTTTGACAATATATTTGACTTTGATATATTATGTGGATCTAATAGAAATCATGTTGAATGATCGTGACTGATCGAAAGATATAATTTTTCAAAGAATTCAGTCAACAAAAATACTTTTCCAATATATTAATATAAGAAAAAACGATTTAAAAAGAACCTAAAATAAGTACAACAATTCAATAAATTATAAATAAATTTATAATTTATATAAAAGGTCGGTACTAAAATATCAAATCGGTTTTCTTAAAAATCATATCAGCTCAATTAAATTTCAAAATTATGACTAATGGCCTTTCTTTTTGTATGGTACTAAATTGTTTTAGTAGTATTTATCACTAATTAAATTGCTTGATTAGATATTTTTATAATTTATTAACTTGGACTACCCCACCTTTCGTTATAAAAGTCAGTAGCGAATAGCAACGATGCTTACGTGGGAATTAATTAACCGGTTGCCTACCTATGGTCTACATATTCAACATTTGTTTCATATAAGGATGGTTATTATCGGTTCGGTTAAATTTTTTATCTATTTATATTCGATTTAAGTAAAAACTTATTAAGTGATTTTAATTGTTAAAGAATTTTTTTGAGGTTATTTATTTGAGCAGTTGCGTCTGTAAGGTATTGGCGTGTTTTTAATAGGTTCAGAAAGTTATGAATATATACTATCTTGTACAAACTATTTATTATATTCAGGTCGGATCGGATATTCTTATCGTAAATCCCAACTCAATCCTATATTATCATTCAAAAAACTGATTGACTTGATTCAAACCTCAATCTTCAACAACAAAAACCATATCGAATAAAAAATCATTGAATTCGAATCAAATGTTTCTTCAATTTCATTTAAAATTTTTAAATGTGAATAAATAAAATCCAAACGTTAGTTCAATCATTAATTGGACCATTAGAATTGCTGCCTGAAAATAAATATAAATGTTACACATGGATTTTCAATTAGCAAGTTAATGCAAAAATAATGATGTGAATAGGGACTGATGGAGGTTGGTTAATCAATAATTTTTTTTTTATTTTATCTTGGTAGGCGTTCATAGTTACATTGAATATATTATATTAAGTTCTCATAAAATTTGAGTGTTGATATTATTTACTCATCATTATCGATGATATCTGTATTTTTAAAATTATTTAATTGGATTTATTTTTTTTTTCCTGGAATTATTTAAAATATATAAAAACTATATGTATAAATTAACTTAGAGTTGCTTGAAGGACATGCATTGCGTTGGAGGGTCAGAGTCTGAAAACGTGAGGCGCAATCATGCAGGAAATTCTGTGTACAACCGCCCATAGCAAATCTTAACAACAGGCAACCTATGATTCATCATCTTCTGCTCCAATTAATATCCTTAAAACGACAACTTCGCTGTCCTTGGACGCTCGTTTTGTCGGATCTTCACCTCTTCCCTGTTCAATGTATCTGTTCAATAATATTGTGGGTGATTTATTTATTTATTTTAATACGAAGGAAACAAAGCTTTACAAATTAATGGTCTCTTTATTTGCTTCTTAATGGAATCATTCAGCGTGTTTGTTTTGTACCTCTGAATGATTCAGTAGTAACTGATTCAGCAAAATAGTGTTGAATGATTCAGCATCAAAGTACATTCTGAATGATTCAGAGCCATTATCAAACAGCATGCCACATTCAGAACTAATTCATACAGAGCCTCTGAATCATTCAGTATTTAAATCATTCAACGCTTAATCATTCTGAAGTAAACAAACAGCCCCGAAGACATCTTGGTATAATTATGATAAAAATTATAATAAATAAAACAAGAAACTCGTTGAAATTTAAAATAAATCTAAACGAGACTTTCATAAATAATAAAATTTAGAATTAAGAATTTAATAAATCGAGCTGGCTGTCATAGTATTTATGCATTTGTATATAACTACAAGTAGTATTTAGTTTCAATTATTATATATAATTACTAATTAGTAGTACATATAATAAGATAAATGAAATACTGCCAAAAAAGACGTGACAGGATAATACCACGAAAAGGGTTGGATTTAAAAAGGAAAATATAAATAAAATGATGTTGAGTCACCATCACGTGCACAGTCATTATTTAATTTATTAACTAATTATTTTAAACCAAATATTATATAATAATATTATTAAAATAATTATCTTAATCTAATTTATTTTATTTAAAATATTAAAATCTAACTTATTAATTTATTTATGATATAATGTTTCACATACCTAGATTAATTAATTATTAATATTAATCTTTATTTTAGTTACCCAACACATGGACATGGTACCGTTGTGCACCATCTAAAACTTATTCAACCATATCCATACAGACAGTGATGTGTGATTAAATAGATTATAAAATTTATTTTGCGGTGTTATTATTAAATTCAAAATATATAAAATATATTTAATTCCTTACCTTCATACACATGGATTATTATATGTATAAATATCTTTACTCGCTTTACATTAATATTTATTTGGAGATTTAATAATATCCCTTATTATTATAAGACGCCGATAAAGTTTTAATTTCCCAAAAAAAAACAAATGCAAGGGGAGAGAATGGCTTGCCATCCTAAACTATAAAAACTTTTTTAAAGTTCCTTTAAAACTAATATTTTTAAATTAAATATAAAGGTAAAATTTCCCTTTGACCCTCCGAAATATTATAATTCAATTATTATATGGATTCGTTCAACTTGAGGTCTTGTGACTTTGACTGTTTGAGTTCGAGCTTGCTATGTGTAAATTATGTGTGTTGTTTGTCTAGATTTTGATTTTTACTTGAATCTAGTCACATGTGAATAAGGATGGGAATGAGATCAGCCCCGACGAGTTTCGACCTGACCTAATTTTATAGGTCAAATTTTAAAAAAAACAAGTTTTTTTAGAGAATAAGGTCGGGATAATTCGAATTTGAGCTTAGGATGAAAAATCTACAACACAACCTGAAATAATGGTGTAATCATCCCTTATATATATTAGTGATAAATGCAATAATACTCATCTTTATATATATATTTTTTCAATTAAGCTCTAATGTTATCAAATAAAAATAAAAAGTATATATATTTTTATCGGCTAGAATCTATTAAAATTTTTACTCTAGAAATTGAATCAAATAATAGATGTAGGGTATAATACTTAAGTCGAATTCAAGTAAATCAAAAACTGAACCCAACCTGAAGCAAGCCAATCCCTACGTGTGAATCTAGTAAAATATCATTCTAGCCTAAGTTACGTTGTAATTATCTATTCGTATAATTGTATTGAAATCTTATAAATGCTAAATGTTCAAACTATAAAGGACATGATTTCTTAGAGAACTTATTAACAAGCTAATATTTTAAGATAATCGAATTACATTTACTTTACTTAAAGAAAGGTATAACCTTTCAAAAAGTTTAAATAAATGTATGATGTTTTAACGTCTACTCATGTAAGGATACTATATTTTATAATATACACTAACATAAATATTTATTTATTTATTTATTTTCGAGAAAATAACAACAATATATCATTATCTATGAATGACATATAAAATAAAGACATCGAAAAATCAAGTTAAAAAATCTTATGCATCATAAAAAAGACTAACCACAGATAACAAAATGTACAAGATCATAAGCCGCAATATTTATTAAATCATATAAGAAAACTTATTTATTAAATTTTGATATATATATATATATATATATATATTATACAATTTTGTATAAGAAAACTTATTTATTAAATCATATATTTTCTCCTTAAATATGATTTAAACATATATATCAACTTTGATAATTTAAATATTCTTTATTCAAAATCGTAAATAGATGTAAATCATATTTAGATTATATTTAAATTTATTATAACATAAACATTATCGAGATTTAATATAATTTATATTTGTACATATTTTAATTATTAACTAATTAAAATTTTATTTGACTATGATGAAAAAATATTTTTTTAAAAATTATAATATGGGGATTTATTTATTTTTTAATGTTTCTAAAATTATTTTCAATGAAAGTTGAAAATTTCCTTTTTATCCAGTCACTAAACTGGTTAATCTTCTGGGCCACAAAGAAAAAGACTGATTAATATTGGAAAGTCAAAGTCAAATTAAAAAAGTCAAAGATGGTGAATTCCAGCAAATGACAAATAACATGAAAAAGAAGTCATCAGGTACGCTCGGACTCAGCTTAAGCAGACGAACAATTCCCTCTTTTCAAGAGACTTGGGGTACTTCCGTTATTTCATCAACAAACGAGGGTCAATTAGAGATGGCAAACGGGCGGGTCGGGTGCGGATACCCCCTCCCCCATCCCCATACTCACCTAATATTTTTCAATCCATCATCCGCCCACTACCCATAATGGGTACAAATTTTCAAATCAACACCCGCCCACGCGGGTACATTTTCAAATCCATCCCCACACCCACTACCACTAACGACATACCCATCTAGACCCGCCTGACAACAAACTAATGAGATGTTGGAGTTGGTTCCCAGACAGTTCATGATGTGGTAGCAGCGCATGCTTCAATTTGTCAGAGGAGTAGCTCTATGAATGTTATGGAGACATATTGTAGGGAGCATGTAGTCGTAGAGCTGGATTGTTATGTTGCTTTCGATGTTAATGCTCATAGTGCGTCTAATATGGGTTTTGAGGGGTTAAAGAACATGGAAACTGCTGATTTTGACGTTAATGCTTATAGTACGGTTAATTTGTGTTTGGATGGACAACACGGGCTAAAGAACATGGAAAATGACGTGGTTAGTGAGATTATGAGTTTAATCAAAGAGTCGAATATTTCCCTAATTAAAGACCAGATTAAAGACTAAATATCCTTAATATTTGGATAAATTATATGTTATATATTATACAATATTAAAATTTATAAATTAGTCTCTAAAATTACACCTAAATTCATAATGGTCCAAAATTTAATAGATATTTAGCTGGGTGGGAGGATGTGGGACGGGCGGATGCGGGGCGGGTAATGTCTTAAACCCATTACCCGCCCACCACCCACGACGGGTACCACTTTATAAATTCACACCCGCCCACTATCCGTTAAAATTATACCCATCTCCGCTCCAATTAAAACGAATACGATACAGAATCTACGAAACTGTATCTATTTACCATCCCTAGGGTAAATCACATATCCCCGATGAAATCGGGAAGATGACAAAAAAAGAAAGAAGTAAAAACCGGGCCATTTGCTAACGTTGCCTGGAAAGACGGTGACTCCCGCCACGTCATAGTCCAATCTGTAATCTCCACGTCACCTCCACAAGTAAATACCTTAAAAATAAGAAAACAAATCGTAATACATCCAACGGCTCATTCGCTCTTCCTCTTACATCTGACGGTCAAGAGTTCTCGTTCTGGATCCTTCCATCCCAAGAGGAAGGAAAAGAGAGAGAGAGTAATAACTAGGGTTAGTTAGTTAACTCGGGTAAGGGCGAAAACCGAGTTAAAGAGCGATTCTTCGAAGGGGAGACTGAGCTGAAAGGAAATCAGGAAGAAAAAAGGAAAAAAAAAACAAGAGAGAGACAAGGAAGCTTTAGAAAACTGAGTCAACTTGGACGATTCCTTACCTCATTTTACACTCCCCCTGACTCATACTCTTTGTCCAACTCATTGGTTTCCCAATCAGATTCAAAGTTCAATCGACATTTCACTGTTCCCTTTCTTTCAGATTTTGGAATCCGGTAAGTTAATTTTCTTAAATTCGTTGGGTTTAAACTGTTTTTGAGTTTAAGGTTTAGTGTGGGTATTAAGTAAAATGGAACGTTGAAGATCAATGCCTAGAGATTTATCCATATTATGCTTTATCTCTTGAATTAATTGAAAATCTTAAATTTTCTTTTGGCGTTTCATTTTTTAATTGACTGTGGAAGTTTCTTGGATCAGTTGTTAATATAGATGCATTTTAAGCTAGTATTCATACCTGCCTACTTGTATTTAATGGATTCCTTGTATAGATTAAAGAAATGCATTTATTTTTGAGATTCTGTTTGCTTTTGATTTATGAATGCATTGATTATGATAACTGCTACTTTACTTGGCTAAATCTATCCATTTAGGGAGTATTTGGGCATATATAGTGATAGTAATTCTATTACTTGCTTAATCAAAATCAGGGCTTTGATTCAGATCTTGGTTGTTTTTTACAGGTTGGTTTGGAGTTCTCTATCTGTTTATGGATGCTAAAGATGGCGGATTTAATGTACTGTAGGGATTAGATCTTCGTTTTGGTGTGCCAAGTCTGTTGACCGGGTGTTGTCTTTTAGTTGTTTGGGTTGTTTTTTTTGGTTTTAGTTTTATTGATTGATGGTTGTTGGTAAAATTGGAGTTTTTTCTGGTCCATTTCTGATCAGCTTTGGAGTTCAGATCTTCTCAAAGGGGAAGAATCTCTTGTCCATTGTCAACTCTGCTCCCGGCTACCTGGAAATCCGTGATTGATATCTCTTGTATTTTCATGTCTCGGAAGTTGGACAGTCCTGTTCAAACTCAAATGGCAGTGGCAGTGTTTAACAGTCCTCTTAGAGGGGAATATCCTAGGGACAATACGATGGAAGGGAAGCAACTTGCTAGGAGAAGACGGGTTTTCGTTCAAACTGAGACTGGCTGTGTCTTGGGCATGGAGTTAGATCGCAGTGACAATGCTCATACGGTTAAGAGAAGGTTGCAGGTTGCCCTCAATTTCCCTACAGAGCAAAGCTCGCTGACTTTTGGGGATGTGGAGTTGAAGAACGATCTTAGTGCTGTTCGAAATGATTCTCCGCTTCTCCTAACACGGAACTCTTTCCATAGAAGTTCCTCTACTCCTTGTCTTTCGCCTACAGGAAGGGATCTTCAGCAGAGAGATAGAAGTGGTCCTATTGAGATACTGGGGCATTCCGATAGCTTTAATGTATTGAAAGTTCTGGTGAAGGATGTTGTTAAGGCAATTAAGATGGGTGTCGATCCACTTCCTGTTCATAGTGGTCTAGGAGGTGCCTACTTCTTCAGGAATCCTAGAGGTGAGAGTGCTGCAATTGTGAAGCCAACAGATGAAGAACCTTTTGCACCAAACAATCCGAAAGGCTTTGTTGGGAAAGCCCTTGGACAACCAGGTTTGAAACGTTCAGTTCGGGTAGGGGAGACAGGTTTCAGAGAAGTTGTGGCTTACCTTTTGGACTATGATCATTTTGCGAATGTGCCACCAACAGCACTGGTAAAGATTACTCATTCAGTCTTCAATGTCAACAATGGTGTGAATGGAAATAAGCCTTTCAAAAAGATTCTGGTTAGCAAGATTGCATCTTTCCAACAATTTATACCCCATGGCTTTGATGCTAGTGATCATGGAACCTCGAGCTTTCCCGTTTCTGCTGTGCATCGCATTGGGATACTTGATATACGAATATTCAACACAGACAGACATGCAGGAAACATTTTAGTACGGAAGCTTGATGGAATTGGGGGGTTTGGTCAGGTAGAACTCATTCCTATTGATCATGGCCTTTGCTTGCCAGAAACTTTGGAAGATCCATACTTTGAGTGGATTCATTGGCCTCAGGCTTCAAAGCCTTTCTCAGAGGATGAACTCGAGTATATAGAGAAGCTTGATCCTATAAAAGATTGTGAGATGCTGAGAAGAGAGCTTCCCATGATACGGGAGGCTTGCTTACGTGTTCTGGTGCTGTGCACAATTTTCCTCAAGGAAGCTGCAGCTTTTGGTCTCTGTCTTGCTGAAATTGGTGAGATGATGAGTAGAGAATTTCGTACTGGAGAGGAGGAACCTAGTGAGCTAGAGGTTGTTTGTCTTGAGGCAAGGAGGCTGATAGCAGAGATGGAATTGTCATCTCCAAAGTCTGATGCGGGTGATGCAGAGTTCCAGTTTGATATTGACTATGAGGAACCCGAAGCTGACTTCAACCCTAAAATGACTAATGATGATATTATGACCAGAGCTTCAATCCAATTTGGAAATGGATTTGTGAATAACAACCGTTTTCCACTTCCAAAGCTGGAGGAATGCTTTGAGGAAGATGAAAGTGAAGGAGAAGCCGAGCAGGATGGTTTTTCTCCTTTCATAGCTCTTGAAAGGATTCCGTCCGTTTCCATAATTTCAATGTCACTCAAAGATACCTGCTTAGGTGACAAGAACCAGAAATATCACAAATTTTCTGGAACAAAACAAGAAAATGGCTATCTTACTAGCTCTTCTGGGCATAGGAGTGCAAATGAGCAACTTCCTGCAAGTGCCAGCTTTGTGAAGCTGGCTGACATGAATGAAGAGGGGTGGACTTTCTTCCTGGAGAAGTTCCTGGAGCTGCTCCACCCAGCATTCAACAAACGAAAATCCATTACCATAGGTCAGAAGCAGATACAGAGGCTCGGTACATCGTGCCAGTTTTGAGATTGAGGTGGTAGGATATCGGTCCGAGTTTGAGTTAACTGAAGAAGTATTAAGACTATGTAGGCTCGTTGGGGACTTGAGAATGAGATACATGTATTGTTAGGATAGATTCAGTGATATGGGTTTTGGCCCTGGGAATGTTTTAGGATGAATCCCCCCCCTCCCTGTAAATATTCTTTGGCTTCAGCTATGTAGAGAGCTGAAGTTCGTAGAATTTGTTGCATTTCTTCCTTAAGCTTTTTGCTTTCATTTGGTTGTTTTTCCCTTTTTTACTTTTCTGTTGAACTTCGATAAATAATTTGTATATTAAAGCTAAAAAAAAGAAAATATTCATGTAAATTTGGACATTTTCATCTTTGTGTTGTGAAATCTTGCTTCTGTTGTGATGAAGTAATTCTAGTTAGCTAACAGATTATGCCTTTCCAACTAAGTTCATAATCATGCAGCAGCAGTTTAATTTGACCATAAAGTTACTATATATATATATAATGATGGAAGGTGTGTTATGAGCTTAAAAATTGGTTTGGACAGATTTAGAAATGAAAAACCCTAGTCTCTTGCTGCCATTTGTGTTTGCAATCAGGGGTTATCTGGAATTATCATATAAATTGATTGTAGTTGATAAGAAGCATAAATCCGCTGAGAAAAATTGAGGGGTAGGCCAAAAGTGGATGAAAGTGGGGGCCTAATATCTCTGAAGCAAAATGATGTCTACATTTGGTGAAAGATCAACTTTGGAGACATGTGCAATGTTCATTGACTGTTTCTCATTACTTTTCTGACCATCTTTTGAATCATTTATGTTTCTTTTGCCTCTACCAGGAAACCAAACTTAAATCATTGTTTAAAATTTTTATGTTCATGTTCGGATATGTATTAGACTTGAACGCTTAAAAAAATGAAAAATCTCAATTTTCCATTAGTCTACTTGGTATAATTATAATAAACCATGGCTTCTATGTCACTTTATATACAAAGAGGTTGCATATGCATGAAGAGCTTAGCTTGAGTTCAGTAAACAGAAAAAAACAGGATGTAAAACGAGACTCAACTAGGGTTAGTAGAGAAATTATACAAGTTAAATGTGCACCAAGGTTTTTAGCAAGGGTTACACATTCATCATATCTCAAACAATCAACCAGATGGTCGATCGTCAGTTCGACTGCTTGCATGAACGAATACACGATCACCAGCCCGACGAACCTGAATCCATGCTTCAATAAGTCCTTGCTTATGGCTTCAGCTATTGGAGTTCTTAGTGGAACATTTCTGGGGCATTTGTATTTGTTGATGGTTGGCTTATAAATCGCGTAACCCTACATGAAACTGCTGAAAGATTAATATTCCCTGAAAATATGTATATTTCATGGATAAATTCATTAACTTTCTAAAGAAAAATGACGTTGTTTGAGAGTTCGGAGATAAGGAAGGAGATGCAGATGCCAAAAACCGAAATGAATTCTGGGTTTGATTCATTAACTAAAAACTTGCCTTGAGTATGCATTTGGCATTGTCTGCATCTTACTCTGCCCTCTGCAAACATCATTGCTTTGTTCAATGATATCTCATTGATTCCTTTATCTCCCATTTTAGCAACATTTACAGGATCAAATCTCAAGAAGGATTCTCTGTACGATAAACATAAAATTGCAATCTTTGGACAACATTTCACTTAAAGACTTTTCAATTATCGTCAAATTCAACAGGGCTAATTTGTTATATAAGCTATATATGTATATGCAAATTGAAGAATATGTTGTACCTGTAAAGATCATTTCTTTTCAAATCTCTGTTCAATTGTAATCCATCAGCTATCAGACAACACAAGCAATTCAAACAATTGGTTGTTTGATCGATTATCAGTCAAAGATGTCGGTGGAAACAACATTAGTGGATTAGATGTCTGAATCCGAGGAATTAGAAACTTATCAACATAAACAGGACCCCTCCATTGCTCGTCGTGAAATAAATGTAAACCTTATCTGTATCAGAAGACTTTAGTTAGTTTGTTGGTTGTCAAGTTATTACCAACTTATTCCATCTTTGTATGCATATATATAGCATTAATAATTCAGATGCATATAAAGATCTGCTATCAAACTTTCATGATGGAAATCAATCACCATTATCAGTATAATATTTCGTGAGATGTTACGAATCAAAAAAACGAAATAGGATTATAGATATTTAAATTTAAACTCCGCGAATGAAGTGAAATAAATCCGAGTTTGAGATAATTTACCACCGTTCTTTGTAACCCAATGACACGTCCTCACTTCACCATTACCAGGATTCTGATGCTGCTGCTGTCTTCGGTGAACACTTTTGTCAACCGTGGGGAACTCTCTTCTCTCGCGATAAGGAGAAATCAAAGTAAGTGCCAATGTAATCTTTTATTCCAGGGGAAATGATCAATTAGAGAAGAATCATTCGAGTTATGCGACGATAACGATGAAGATGAAGGGCTTCTTTGTAACGTCCCAATTGTGTAGATTTTCTTCAGATGTTTGGATAAACCACTTTGTGTTGATGATCTCTCCTTCTCCTTGCAACATTGCCCTTATCTAAAACATGTCTCCTTACATTTGTTTTGGAAATGTTTGAGAAAACCCTGGGATTCTATGATTTTGTCAACCCTATTTTTGCTCAGTTTTATATTATGTTGTTATCTGTTAAAAGATTCGGGTTCCCAGTCATATATGTTGGGTGTGTGTTGTCAATAGGTTAACAATATTTTGAACAAACGCTATCTTATAATTATCTTAAATTATACGGGGGAAAATCCTAAATCTACATAAATACATAGATATCATGCATAGTTCGATAAATTCGATAAATTATATGATAATTTTATTGTTCTAGTGACTAAGTGATATTGACACTCTCTTGTATAAGGTTTGAATCTCATTGAATTTTTATAAGAGAAAACAACAAAGGGGCAAAATTAATCGCCTAACTTTCAGCATTCACAGTGTGTGCTAACGAGAGATATTCATGCAACACAGTTAGAACGACAACAGGTGGATCCTGGAACGTAATCACACCAAATGACAAATTCCATGTAACATTGGTCATATCATCGTCCACTTTATTACATTCCTGGGACACAAATCTGAAAGATATTCTCTAATCTCTGTCGATAAGAGCATTCAAATGTGGAGACATCGTCGAGGTATTTCGAAGTTTCGGTTCCCTACAAACGACAACAAGTGTCTCTTTGCTATCTGTTTCAATGATAATATCTTTAATATCGAAGTCTCAAGCAATCTTCAAACCTTCATAGATGCCCCATAATTCAGCATCAAGAACCGAACAACAACCTGTGTGTAACTCTCTAGACCCGACCTCTGCGTTACGACCAGATCTAGTGAATTACAGTAAAAATTTTCCAAAACGTTTTTCAATAACTTAAAATCATATTTCGAATAAACATCCTTTAAAAATATAGTTGGTAATATTAAAGTTCAATTTCAGTAATTTAAAAGTCGTCATAAGGACTAAGTAAAATAAAATATTCCGAAATTAGTTTCGAAACAAATCTATCATCAGTATCAAAAGTAGTATAAGTCTTAAAACAAATACTTCCAAAATATAGGCACATGCCACCCAAAATAAATGCAACTCGGAAGATAAATACATTATAACAAAAGGTATTGTACGAATGTATCGATCCTCCAAGTGTCAGGTTCGGGACACCTATCAAAAGTATCTGAAAGAGAAAAGTTTTGGGAGTGAACTTGTAACACCCCCAACCCGTATCCGATCCAGATGCGAGTCCGAAGTGCCAAATTGCCTTTTCGAAACGGTTACTTTTACAAAAGCTCGTAAAATTTAAAACTTTTATTAAAAGCACAGTACACTAATTTACATAGATTCTATCAAAATGTTTACAAAATCGATCAGAGCATTTATAACTTTAAATTGTAATTACATACCAACATAATTATTATAACAAAAGAACATACTACTTTAGATTACTTCTGATCTGATCTCTTTAAAGGAGATGTTGCCTTTCTAGACCTTAACCCTGGTCTTCCTGCTTCTTGATACCTACGTGTAAATCACTTACACGCTAAGTCATAGACTTAGTGAGACATAATAGAATATATAACAATGAATTCATAAAACATGCACTCTTGCCATTCGATCGTGACATTACAACTTGTATGTATCTACTAAATGATAACATATATGATCATGTTATGCACATATGAAATTTATCTTCTTATTCGAGTTTCAATCCAATTTATCTTTGGATGCCCATGTACATTATTGAGAACAGAAGGTACGTGAGTACACTGAGGTTGTGCACAAATGCTGTCACCACATCTCGAATAAATTCCCACTAGGTGCACTTAGAATTTTGTCTCGAAGGACCACTATATCCTAAAGGACCACTTTGTCCAGTAGGACCACTTTTAACCCTCGACTCTTGGCATGACAATTATACCTACAACTCTCATATTATATAACATGGGCTTAAATATGGATACGTTTCACCTTTTCATATCTCTTTTATCACTTCCCATATAAACATTTCATTCACTTCACATGTTCACATATGATCACTTTACTTATTACACATACTTGGATTTGTTCTCTGATGATTGCACACATTACATATTTATCATATGAAAGTATTTAAGAATTATGCAAATACTCACTATAATCATAACATATGCATGTATATGAAAAAGTAAATCATAAAATCAATTAGAGGAAATAGACTTATCACAAGTCTTCTTTCCATAAAACAATATCTATACTACTAGGATATGCACTCACCTTAGTCTTGCTTAATCCCAATTCACTTTTATAATTCTATCTATTTGGATTGATCCCGACTATGTGGTTGTTCCAGAACTTGTTTATGCTCAATATCTATATAAATATAATCTAATGAATATCGAACGTTGAAATATTTAAAAATGATTCATACTAACTTGAACTAACTAAAATACTAATATCAACTTTTCCAACTTGAGGGGTATCAGTACTACAAGCACAGTATCGATACCTCTCCTCTAGGGTACCGATACCTATCCTCTAGGGTACCGATACCCTCCCTAGGTATCGATACCTAATTTAAATTTGATGTTTCCCTGGTATCGATACCCTTAACCTGGTATCGATACCTTATGCTATGGTACCGATACCACCTGTCCAAGTATCGATACCCTTTGAATATTTTCCCTATTTTACTCTTGAGGTATCGGTACCTGATGAAGCATTACCGATACCCATAGCCCAGATTTTCCTTTTT